AGATGCTCTTCTTACTTATTCAAATCTTATAACAACTTTTATTACCAAAGAAACTACACTGTATAGACGACAATTTTGGGTCACAAAAATGGACGTTTTACCAAGTAAAATCGACACAAAGGAAACAAAAGAAGAAAAACCCTTGCTTTCAAAAACGACACCACCACACATTAACAATTCCCAAAACTTCATTTTTATATCACAACAACAAAAAGAGGAAAAAATAAGACCAAAAAGTAACAGTCTGTCTCCATCGTTGCCTGTAAAGGTCTATCCCGTCTTACCTAATTTTGCTAACAACAAGAAGCCAATTGGCAAGATCTCTCCACCCTTAATATTCCCAAATAAAACAAGAGAAATTAAAAACGATTTCAATAAAGTGTCATATCCATCACACTCTCCGCCTTCTCACAACAAATTTGAAATCAGAGAAATTCTAAAAACGACACGTGGCGACGAGAAACAGACTCAAAAAATGTCTATAGAAAGTGGCACAAAAAGGTCGAATCTTCTCAAAAAAATTTTGAGCAAAAGAAGTCGCCGAGTATTCAACATCCTCAAAAGTCGATTTTAGACACCACCGATGTCGACTTTCTGGTGATTGAAAATTGTCGAGCAAACTTTTACGAGTGGATTTCATGTGCGAAGTTTGAGGTCTTATATGACAGCGAGAGGCCGATTCCGATTACTAAAAGTTGTTCGCAAGACTTTTTCAAGAAGGTCTATAACATTCCAAAATGCGCATTCTTTGTGTTTTGTGAAGAATGTGTGTTTGGGTTTTACAGCGAAAGTCAGACGTTGTATTTGTCGCCACTCGACTTCTTGTTTGGAGTCAAAGCGACTGCGAGGAGTGTCAATAAACGGCCAAATCGATTTTTTGTGCCTCAATTTTCTCAAAATGTTTTGTTCACACTTTTTGGGGAGAAGCAAAATCGAAGCGAAAGAGGAAGAGACTTGTTTGCGCTTGAAGTGGGGTATAAAAATGTTTTAAGTGTGAGACAAAAGGAGGACAAGTCATTCCAAAGAGAAATTGGAAACATTTTGTAGACAAGGAAAAACGAGTGAACCTCGAAAGCTTATTGCCAATTACATGGGATTTCGTGGTGAAAAGAGCCATATACATTACATTTAAATAAATCAATT